TGCATACGAAAACCTATAAAATTAGTGTTTAGAAGTTTTTGCATTACTTTTATGACACATGTTCACGCAATATAAGAGATAATTTCTCACAAGTTCTTTCGGTGATACTAGAGACCACATTAAGCAGCCACTGTTCATTATTTCTGTGCGTAGCCGTGTATCAGTAAATGGACTCTGGCTCCTTACAGATCTTATGAAAACAAACTTTCCTATATATCATTCGACGTGCCTCGAGCTTCTCTACAACACGGCATATTGGATTCTTGATTATGAATAGATCACCAAATCCGACAGGATCACAGTGGGCAACTTTGACTAGACGCGTGAACATGTGTCATAAAAGTAATGCAAAAACTTCTAAACACTAATTTTATAGGTTTTCGTATGCACTCTTTCCAATGGTGTAATTTACAAGTTCAAAGATGTTGTTACTCGGTCTCTGGAAAACCAGACTAAAAGCATTTTTGAACGTTGTAAATTCCACCATTGGAAAGAGCGCATACGAAATCTATAAAAATAGTTTTCGTAAGCTTTCAAGCTACTTCTAAGGCAAAAATCCTAGTGCCTAGCCAAAATTGCTACGGGAATGCTGCAAATCTGTCATTTCATTAAACCAAGTATTTCTTGCACATAAAAACATACAACTGACATATCACTCGATGCAATTCGATGCCCTGATTCTAAATAGGTCATTTTTATTGAATAATAACATTTCTGAGTCAAGAAAAATAGAAAATATCTAGAAAACCATGGATATTTTGAAAAACCTGCTGTACAATCCAGGTGCATTTATGCATGTTTATGCATTCATCATAGTTGAAGGACATGTAGAAGAACATTCTGTAAAAGTCTGAACGAGTTTCGAGTTGGGATGTGGAGGGGAGGCTCATTTTACTGAAACTATCCATTTATTAACAGCTCTAATTATCTCGTCTTGAAGAGAAAAAAATGCGATTTTCAATCGGCTGACTATGCTTTTTTGCGTGTAGTCGATAGTCGTAGACTTTCATGTATTCAGCAGTGTCCATCACCAAAGATGGGAACATGTACCAAACTTTGTCAGAAATTTACCATGAAATAGCACTACAAAATGCACTATTGTGAAGTTCTTTAAAAAGGTAGCGTGATGTCCAAACCTTCCCTGCATTGAAAACTAGTGATCAATTTTTAGACCCATTTTTCTCTTTTAATGTCGTAAAATTTCATTTTTTGATTCGATCATACTCCTTCTTCAAATCTAAGGCCGTATTCATGATCAGCAAGCAAAACTGCACCAGATGGGTAATATTCGAAGATTCCAGTCATCATTCCTGTACCCGTCGTATGTCAAATTCTAGTAATGGCTCACTTCTCTAGAAACTTTTTTAAGTTTTGCAGACCTATCTAGTTTCTTTTGTAGTCGACTTTTTTATTTCATTAGAAGCGCCTCTAAACGAGCTTTAAAAGTACGGATCACTTTTTTTTTTATTTTGCTTTATTACTAAGAAAATACAGTTTTTCTGAATCAGGAGCGAAAACGTCGAAATTCTCTATTTTTTCAACCAGAACTCACTTTTTATGCAATTAAAATACCATATTCGGAGTCAGTGTCGAAAACTGAGTCGAACGATATATGTCTCACAATTTTCCGTTGATTTTCATTTTTTGGTGAAAATCTTAGTAATTTAAATAAATTATTCTACGTGAAAATTCGAAAAAAAACAAAAGTGGTCGAAAACTTTTGAGACATATATCATTCGACTCAGTTATCAACGCTGACTCCGAACACGAGAAGAAAACAAAACAAAAGAACTAGATTTTGAAGGAGTGAAATATTTTGTGTTATTCTAGAATGAAACCGATGGTCTAGTTTACGGACATGAGTACGATTCATCAATAAAAGATGATAACAATGCGAAAATAACAATAACATCTCAGACAGCAGCAGAGATGAATGCACCGACAAGAGGAAGAAAGAGAAAAGCTGATTTAATGTGTGTTGTATGTGGTGGTCTAGCATACGGTTATAACTTTGATGCGATTACATGTGAATCCTGTAAAGCATTTTTTAGAAGAAATGCTCTTCAACCAATGGTAAATTATAATTCAGAGTGTAAAAAGAATGTTATTTAATTAGTGTGTGTGTTATTTTTTCAGGAACAATCGAAATGTATTAGTGATACATCAAGTATGTGTGATATATCAAATAACGTTAAAAGAAAATGTAAACGTTGTCGATTAGATCGATGTTTTCTAATGGGTAAATAAAGATATTTTATAATTAATAGACATGAATTTCAACTTGTGTGTTTATATAGGTATGAGAAAAGATTATATTCTGACAAGTGAAGAAAAATTATTAAAAAAGAAGCGTATTGAAGACAATAAGCGATTAAAATATATGAAATCTACAGATAGTGATAATCATAATAACAATTCAGAACCTCAGGTAAGAGAAAAAGAATATTATTCTACAGATATATGATGTATTTCTAGCTAGAGACATCGGAAAAATGGCGAAAAATTAGACTATAACATGTAAACATAATACAATTGATTTCTCTATAATCACATGAAAAGATTTTGTTACCATGAATGTTTTGAAATGAGCTTATTTAACAAGTTATGATGTTGAAAATAGTGCATGTTCAGTATATCAGAGTATATCAGATTAACGAGCAGTTTAAGTTAATCGTCAAAAT